GTAGTTGCATGCAGCGACGTGCAGGCGTAGAGTTGCATGCGGGGCAGGCTTTTTTTTTGGAAAAGGCGGGGCAGATAAGCAGCATGCGTGGCAGGCGGGACGGGCGTAGCCGGCGGGGCGGGCGCGGGTGTCTGAACGAGAGGCTAACGTCTGAACGTTCGGGCGTTAGCCACTTCGAAGAAAAAAGATTTTTTAGTTGATCCTATCCGGTGAGACAACAATATTTATATATTTAATGAGGGGCCGGTGTGCATGGAGAGATGGTATGCTAATCATCGTCCGGTTCGTTTGGCTTATAAGTCGTACTTTTTCAGCCAATGAATAATATTTTTCTCTCACAATAAATCAGCCAATAGTATTTTTAGCCATGGCTTATTAGCCAAGCGAACATGGCACATGTTGGAATGAACCTCGGTAATTATTTAGGTTTAGATTTTTAATCTAATCAAATTAGAGATATTCCATATTACTGCTACTTTTTTTAACTCTTGGAGTTGAATTGGTAATCACGTCTAAATAAAATGCATACTTTTATGTTCCTCCATAAAATGTATAAGAGAACTTAGCACCATATTATATTATGCCTAATGAGTTAAATGAATAAAACCAAAACACAATATTATATCTGTTACATAGCAAAATCGATGTATAAAAAAGTCAAAGCGACATATAATTTGGATCAGAGGGATTATATGAATTGACTTCTATAATTTTTATGGACGTTGCTAGAGCGTCCAAGCGTAGGATTTCAACATACATCACGCACACCTCTGTAGCACACAGATTTGAGTTGCAAAAAAAAACTCAGCAGCTCCCTCTTCCCCGACTACGGTGCCCTTGCCTGCCGCCATCGCTGCCGCATCTGCCATTGCTGGCCCGTGAAACCCTAGCTTCGCTTGCTTGGCGCCACCTTCTTCCCCTCCCTCGCCATGCATGGCGCCATGGCCGCCGCCGCCACCATGGCCGGAGCTCCCCCGCCCCGACCTGGCCCGGTCGCCACAAACCGCCCGTTGACCTTTCCTACCACCTGGCCTACATGCCTCTCCCCGGCCGAGCCCTTCTATACCCCACCGGAGTTGGAGAAGAAAGGGAAGAGCTCGCCAGAACCCTAGAAAAGCGGATCCAAGAGGAAAGAGGAGAGAGAGAGAGGAGGAGGAGAGGCCTACCTGCCACCGAATCGGCGGATCCACCGCCGCCGTCGCTGGATCTGCCATGGCCAACGCGAGCGCAGGGGAGGTGGGGAGGCGGTGGGGTCATCGGCTTCCGGTGAGAGAGAGGTGCGAGAGAGAGAGAGAGAGAGCGAGCAAGGGATAGAGAGAGAGTACAAGGCGGGGAGGGGAACTTGCGTCGGGGGCTGTGGTGGGTGTGCGGGCTCAAGCCGCGTGAGCATGCACGATCTTCTATTAGCGTTTTCCAATTTTTATTTATTTGTCATTTCTTGTTTTCAAGAAGAATCAAAACCTATCGTGAATTGGAGCTCCCTCCGCGCTTCACGGATTCGCGGGGTACTTGCCGTATCGACACATAGCAGCGCAGCGTGTATCAGCGTCCGAGCACGCACCTCGTCGTCGTCGCATTTGCGTTGTGCTGCAAGCGAATTTCCAACATGACTCACTGACGGATGGACCATAGTATAGCGAGAGCCCAGATGCAGAGAGGGGGCTCTGGTTCAGGGAGCGTGAGCCAACAGGCCCAACACCTCGCGGCCATCCCGCCTCCTGTCCGGTGCAAAACTGAATTTTCACTGGCCCAGTGGTCCCTGGGGCGCGTGGACCCGGGCAGTGAGGACGGGTGTAGATTGTAGAAGTGAGGCGTCGTGGTCTCGACGATGGGTCACAGGGCATGCTAAGCCGTGAGCACCGTATCTCTCACCCATCTCCTTTCCCCTGTCTCTTTCTCTGTTCCCTTCATATCTCTCTCCGCTGCTAGAAGGCTGCTCGGGCGCCGCCAGATTCCGGCACCGCTGGCGAGCTCGAGTGTGGTGGCTGCCAGGGGAGGACCAGCCTCCAGAGGATCCATCAGTCCATGGCATGGAAGTGCCACGAGCTCGCGAGGGCACGTCGCGGGTTTCTTGGAAGATCCCCCGGCCTTGGCGCGTGAGGAAACTGAGGATCTCAGCAGCTGGCGAGTCCAGTGAGGCTTATTCTACATTACTATTTGGTCCAAATTGCTTAATAGTGAAATACGAGAATGTAATAAGCAGTGATATGCTCCACGTGTTTAGTTGTTTTATTTGATTTGATATGTTTATATATAACTAGTGCAGCCACTACCCACTAGCTACAGAACCGAATAATCAGACAAGCTTGCTTTGTTTTCTTTATCAGTTGATCTTTCTGCCAAATGCAAATGATGTACGTGTACAGATGTCTAAATTTCTATGGCACTTCTATGTACTATGCAGGTCACTCCATAGAAAGGTGCGAACCTGAATTTACTCCCATCAGAGAATTTACTCCATAGAGAGGTGTCGTATGAGGTATTTGGATACTAATAAAAAAATAAATTACAGAATCAGTCAGTACTCCACGAGACGAATTAATTAAGCCTAATTAACCCACCATTAGCGCATGTTACTGTAGCACCGCATTGTCAAATCATGGACTAATTAGGCTTAAAAGATTCGTCTCGCAAATTAGTCGTAAACTGTGTAATTAGTTTCGTAATTAGTCTAAATTTAATACTCCATGCATGTGTCCAAACATCCGATGGGACAACGACTAAAGTTTAGAAGGAGGAACCAAACACCCCTAAGACTGTCTCCAACAGCGCAGGCAAAGGGTGACTCAAACGTAAAATACGTCGTGCACAGTGTTTTGCGCCCCAAAAACACACTCCAACAGAGGACGCAAACAAGACAGCCATTTTGTGTAGCAGGCGAGTCGGGAGGCAAAAAAAGCGTCGTCTCTTTCGACGACGCAAAACACAGCGAACGACGACGGGGAGGGAGGCTCGGGGGAGCCGCGGCCACCGGCGGTGCCCGCTTCGTCGCTGGCGCCGTGTCGGAGGCACGGACCCGAAGCAGCTCATCTTTGGTGTGCGCCAGCGCACACGCAATGGGATCCGTCGGTGCTCGTGCTTGGTGGCGCGCCGCCACCCCACCCAGAAAGCGTCTTGTGAGAGATGCTGTGCAATGGGAGGGGGAGGCGATCACACACCACCACGAGGCTGGCCACGTGCGGCTCTGCCAAGGCCGACCAATGCTGGATATAAATTTGAGAGAGAGGGAGAGGAGAGAGAGAGAGAGGCACCACTGGCGCGCTCCTTCAGGCCATTTTGCTGGCCGGCGGGCCGGTGGCCGCTTGGCCGCCTCGTCCTATCCGCCTAGATCTTGCCGGGCGTGCGTGGAGAGAGAGAGGCAAAGAGAGAGGAGGTCAAGAGCAAGAGAGAGAGAGAGGAGGAAGGAGGCGGAGGGAAGGGGCGCCGGCCGCCACGCCACCCCACGGTGGTGGTGGGCTGTCGCCACGCCTGGCCGCCGCCCTGGGAAAGAGAGAGAGAGACCGGGCGGCTTCTTTTTTGCGAGGAGGAGGGGGTGGCTGGTAAGATTTTTTTTACCAAGTAAACTTGTGGTTGGGAGACTTCGGGATCAGGGTCTGTTGGTGAAGGCGAGATTTGGGTCCGTGACCCGTTCACTGTAGATGACCTATACTATTGAATGGGTATCGTGTTAAGCACCGCGAAAAACTACCAAACATCTGCGAACAGGAACTGCCTAGGCCACTCTTTACCTGTGGTGTTGAAGGAACTTGCTACTATTTTAGTCAACCGGATATCTGGGTGAACAGGCTGCCTCTTTTCGTTATTACCATCAGTAACCCATTTAGTACTTTGGATGCAAATTTGTACCAGTGTTCTAAACTACTGAGAAAACAGTCGATGTAGTAATGAATTCAAGTCTTCGTGTAAATTATAGAGCCTGTTTATTGCACAACCATATGTTTTATGTAGTTTTAACATATAAATTTTTTTTGCACCATATGATTAAGATCCAACAGCCTCCACCCTTCTTCTATCTTCAGTCTCCACAGATCACACATCACAGATTATCACACATCACAGATCACAATTTTTTTTTATGTAAGGATAAGAAGACAGAGTCAATGACACGCGGAGCCCACAGGGTGAGGTGGCGCCTCCCCACTGGTTCGTGCGACGTGGCCTGGGGCAACGACGACGACGCATCGTACGCTGCTGGCCAGACGACGACGCCTCCTCTTCCTCCCTGCTGGGTGCTGGGTGTGGTGGCCTGCTGATCAATTCATCAATCCGGCCGCGCCTGCTCGTCCTGGTCCTGATGCACACCTTCGTCAGTAACAGTAACACCAGTACACGGCCTCCACATGTCCATGCACACATACAAAGGCCGGGACAAAATCCATGTGTTTTTTTATAGCATTTCTGAAATTATATGTATAGACCATGCAATTAGTGTTATCAATATCATGTTTTTTTATGAGTTCTGCTTCCTTACAATCTTAAATTGAGCTCTAATGAAGCATTGGTAGAGCGCCGCGAAGCGCACTTCCATTTCTAGTTGAGATAAAGGAGAGGTATTCAGCTTGTTCATTTGTTAGTTTCAGCCAACCCAAATCAATCAGCCAATAATAGTTTTTTTCTCAAAAAAATCAACACCAGCCAATTCAAACCAGCACCGACACGCATCAGCGAACAGACCCATTGGTCAATCGTCGCCGGTTGCAGCAGAGCCGCGCTATTCGTCGCTTTGCACGTGGGGCCACACGCGCGCCCGCTCGCCCGCTCGCCGGATGCGCCTCAGCATCGTCACCTTCTGGTTCTGGAACCACCCAAACCCAGCCCAGCCACCCCCATGCCAATCCCCAACAGGCCAACCCCGTCCCTCTCCTCAGCAACCGTGCGGCTCCACCCCTGCGCCGCGATAAGAAAACCCACCAAACCCTAACCCTAGCAGCAGTGCCACCACCGCCCGCGTCCCCGGCGCCCGGCCCCCGGCCCCCGGAGAGGAAGCCGAGCCAGCAAGGATGCCGTCCGGGTCGGCCACGCAATTCCGGTACACGCAGACGCCGTCCAAGGTGCTGCACCTGCGGAACATGCCGTGGGAATGCACCGAGGAGGAGCTCGTCAAGCTCTGCAAACCCTTCGGCAGGGTTGTAAACACCATGTGCAACGTCGGCGCCAACCGCAACCAGGCCTTCGTCGAGTTTGTAAGCCCCTGCTCCACTCCCTCCTCCGATCGATTGTGATACTGGTAGCGATTTGTGCCCCGTGGCTGCTGTAGGAATGATTGAGATTACGAGGAATTCACGATTGTCAGTGCGATTTAGGTGTTACGAGATTGCATCTAGTGATTTGCATGGTGTTCAGTGTGGTAAACTGTAAGCAATGACCTGTCAGCCACTAGGTTTCTTGCATGATCATGATTTAGGTGATTCATGATATTTGATCTCATCTATTTAGATGTTTCTTGTTTGTGAATGTCAGGGTGCTGGTTGGGGGTGGTTCATATTATTTGATCAAACTTTTAGGGTGGACTGCTGTTTCCATAATTGCATACCGTTCCAGCTCAGGTGCCAGCTTACAACAACAAGTGCCACTATTAGATGAGATGCATTGACTTTAAGACATGCATTAGGAACAATGTTCAAAAAGGCGACGCTAGGCGGCCGCCTGGGCGCGCTTATGCGCTGGGCGACGTGGTACCGCCTCGCCTAGGGGGGTAGGCGGGTACCTAGGCGGCGGCCAACTGTTGGCGGCGAAAGGAGGCCAGATCCGCCAAGGTCAGGCAACGATGGGGAAGGAGGTAACGTGGGGTAGCGGCGGCCGGTTGGGTAAGAGGCGACGTAAGGCGGTCGCAGCAGGCAGATCCGCCAAGGCAGGCACGCGTGGGGGCGGCGCGGACGTCAGACGGCGGTGGGGGGAGGAGATAACATCGACGGGGGTGGCGGCGGCTGGTGGGGAAGGAGGCAGCGCGCGGGCGAGATGGCGGACGCGAGCAGAGGAGTTCGGGTCTTCGGGAGGGAGAGAGGGAGGAGAGGCCAGGAGAGGAGGGGATAAGGGGATAAGGTGTCGGTGGGGGTTACAGGCTTACAACACAAGACTTGGGCTTTTAACTGGGCCTTCTCCTCTTTCTCTCCAATATTGACCACTTATCTCCTATTTTTTCTTTTTTTTAAGTATATATGCATGTATTAGTCACCGCCTAGCCACATACTATAGGATGAGAAACAAAAAATCTCTTAGTAATCAACAATCCACTCCATCCCATGTGTAATGTTGTCAGACAAGTTAACATCGGATAAAAAGGACTAGCATCAATATTATGTTAACTACTAGCAACAGAAACTTCGTTTCCTGGCTTCTTGTAACGTATAAGATCTGTTGACTTTCATGAGGGGCCTCAGGGACGACAGCTTGTATAAAGATGTTTTATTCTTTGCAAAAGAGGAAACACTTTTTAGTAGAAGAAAATTGCTTTTCAATAAAGGGCGTACCCAGTGTAGAGAGCTCCCGCTCTGTGCGGGGTTTGGGGAAGGGTGTCAGTGGCAAGCCTTACCCTCGCCTGTGCAATGCGAGGAGACCGCGACTCGAACCCGGGACCTTCCGGTCACAGGCGGTAAGACTCTACCTCTTGCACCAGGCCCGCCCTTCAAGAAAATTGCTTTTCAATATTTATTTATAAGAAATTTAAGTTGTGGACTGTATGCTGAACTTGCAGAGCTTTTAGTTGTATATATGATTTGAATTTCCAGCTTAGTCAATGTGTTCCTTACTGTTTTCCCTTCAACATGCTCATTTTCAGGCAGATCAAAACCAGGCAATTTCAATGGTGTCCTATTATGCTTCATCTTCAGAACCTGCTCAAGTTCGTGGTAAAACTGTATATATCCAATATTCAAACAGGCAAGAAATTACCAACAATAAAGGCACTGGTGATTCTTCTGGCAATGTCCTACTTGTCACTTTTGAAGGTGTCCAGCCTAATGATGTTACCATAGAAGTCATTCATTTGGTAAGTGTTAGTATTCTCTATATATATGTATGAATGGATTCACTTAAATGGCAGAGCAGCTTCCTGCATTGCTTGGTCTGTACAAATTTATTTATTTATTAGTATATGTTTCTCATTGAACATTTGTGGTGATGATAACAACATTTTTAGGAAATCTTTTTTCAGTTGCTATACATCTTTTCGAAGCATGTCGACTTAATGATTGTACATGACCCATATCTTTCTATCTATTGAAAAACTCAGTAAATTTTGTCTTAAAACGTGCAACACTATTGTTGATTGCACTCTGTTAATTTAGGACGTATATCCTGGTTCTTGGCAAGAAATATAAGACCGTTAGGAAGTCCAAAATGTCGGCATTGGATTCTTCCCTGAATAATAGTGCAGATGGGCACAAGGCAAGTACTTCACTGAGAACACCAAATCAACAAAAAGATTCAGAAACGTCTTTTAATTAAGTTTGTTGTTTGTTGAATTCTGCTTCTTTAGCATGGAACTTTTCTCTGTATTACATATTTTCTGATGTATAGTAGCTACCTTGTGAATTCATGCCTCCAGCACAATTCACCGATGTGCTCCATCTGTTCTTCATGTAACCTTGCGCTTGCTACTCTGCCATTTGGTTGAGAATAGGCTAATCCTCAATTGTCTGACAATTGGTTGTGCCTAATTTAGGTATTTTCAGCATTTGGGTTTGTTCACAAGATAGCTACATTTGAGAAAGCAGCTGGTTTCCAGGTAATGTGTTTCTTCTGCCTATTTGCCTACACATTATTCTATTCTACATTGAGCTTAACGGTCGGACTTTTCACAGGCGCTTATCCAGTATACTGATGCCCCAACTGCTCTTGAAGCTAAAAACTCATTGGATGGAAGAAGCATCCCAAAGTAATGCATTTTATAGTTTTGCTAATTGCTATTGTTGATTATCAGGCCTCCAATACAAAGTTACTCATGTGACTCCTCTCTTTCAGATATTTACTTCCAGAACATATCAGCGCCTGCCACATGCGCATCACCTTTTCTGCGCATAAGGATTTGAATATCAAATTTCAGTCGCATCGCAGCAGGTACAAGAAAGTAGCATAAACTTCAAGCCTTGTGTCTTCCTGTTGATAATGCTTAAAAGATATTATTATCTTCTTAAGAGTTATTCTATTTATTAACCATCTACCCCTTGTGATACTATTTTGTCGATTTAACAGGGATTACACCAATCCTTATCTTCCTGTGAACCAAACGGCAATTGAGGGGATTGTGCAGGTATGCTTCATAATCTCATGATGTTTCACCCCCTCCCCCTCCCCTTTTTTATTTTTATTGGTGCTTACTCAATGGAAAATTTGCAGCCCATAGTAGGCCCTGATGGGAAGATAAAGGAGCCTGAGAGCAATGTACTTTTAGCATCAATTGAGAACATGCAATATGCTGTGACGGTGGATGTTCTGCACACTGTAAGAACGAGAATAATCTAGTACCTTTTGTTTATTTCAAATAAAGAGCTGACTTGAAAGCAAGCTAATTACATTATAATGTGATAATTTCAGGTGTTTTCTGCTTTTGGTAGTGTTCAAAAAATTGCAATGTTTGAGAAGAACAGTGGAATGCAGGCTCTAATCCAATATCCAGGTATGTGCTCACCAGTGCACCCAACAGGATATGCTCTTCACCTTGGTGCACCGTGATACATTCATAAATTGGCAATTTATTGCATTGGCATGTCGCTGTAACTTGTACACAGTTGAGTGCACTTTATATATCTTGCTCCCTCTGTTTGGAAGTATCGAGGCCTGTAGTTTTTTTTTTCAGACTTGGTTTGGAATGTACCGTGTTTATGCAATGACATTTATGAGTAAACCAGTCACACTGTTATTCTCTCCCTTTTTGCATCATAAGTTTCTAAGTTGGGAAACTTCAGCAGAGAGGTGTTGGAGTTCGTGAAGGCTTAAAATGGACATCTGCAACTTTCCGCAGCTATAAAGTTGCCTGTAGTAATTTCTTGATCATTTTTTACCTTTTGCTGTAAGCGTACTCTCTTTCTTACTAGAGGCTTGCTTCAAACTTTCATTCTGCCATCACTGCACTTTCCTTGTGACATTTGCCGAGTCCTGATTTAGGTATTTTTACCTGCTTAACGTGTCGGGGATTAGATTGTTTGTCAGGACGTCTATAATCAACATGTCTTATCATAAACGTCTTTATATCTATTTGTGGGCCTTCTCTAGCTTCTTGAGATAAATGTCTTTGAAAAGTGTGACAATTCAAATGACACTCATCTTATTGGTGCTCAATACTGTTTGTACTGGTTAGTGGTGTAGTCGTAATTGAACTGCTTTGATGAAACAAGAAGCTCTAAATACCCTTCCACCCACACTTTTAACATTATGTCCCTGGAATATGGAGTATCTCAAAATTTATTCTTTATGGGCAAGTGTCCCTTTGCCATGGCACTGTAGCATTAATATTTGATGGACAATAGATTCGTATGACTGATAAAATCTTTTTTTTAGATACAACAACCGCAGCCGTTGCTAAACAAGCTTTGGAGGGACACTGCATATATGATGGTGGTTACTGTAAGCTTCATCTGTCATACTCTCGTCATACTGATCTCAATGTAAAGGTATAAATAGTAGTTTCAGGCTGTGTAAATTAGCAAATAATTTAAGTATATATCCTTCTGGACTAATGAATAATGAATTTTGCTCAATTAGTATAAAAAGAGTACCTATTGTTCATGCAATTTGACACAGTACGCTTTCTCAACATATTTTTTCCTTGGTTCTTAGTATTGCCTGCTTTTGCTTTGTTCTAATCAGTTACCTATTTGTTTGCATTCAGGCGCATGATGAGAGAAGCAGGGACTACACTCTTTCAGACCCTAACGTGCAGCTGCAAGCTGCTGCACAAGCGCCAGTTCTAAGCTCTCCGGGAGTGGCATGGCACAACACTGCATCAGCACCAGCTGCTCCTTTTTATGCAAGCACAGCGGCTTCAACTCCTGTTGGACAAGTGCCTGCTTGGAATCCAAACATGCAGGCAGGGGGTTTTGCACCTGCATCGACTGCGTACCCCAACCAACCATTAATGGCCAACTCCATGCCTCACTATCCTGCTATTGGATCGAGTTCTGGTGCCCTGCCAGTATCGTTTCAGGCTTCACAGCAGATGCCACAGTATGGCATGCCCCCTGGTGCTCCGCCGCACGCACCACCAGCTGGCCAACCAATGTACTTCCCGAAATAAGTGGTTTTGGTTCAATATTATCAGAGAGCAATCACGCATGTTACCTGCAACAATTGTGGTCTGCAAATGCCATCTTGAAATTTTTGGAAGTGCATTGTAGCTCTTGTAACTTGCGAGCGCCCTTCGCAAGAATACCTCAGCGCTGGCTGTCTGTAAAACTGTCAAAAATAGTGTTAACATATTAGCCTGCATGGTATATTATTGGTTTTGATCTCAATGTCGAGCTGTTTTGATGCCTCAGTGATTTCTTATGCAGTTTTTTCTTGTAAAAAACTGCGCTCTGCTTTTGGCGTGGCCGTGCCTTTTGTAGCAAGAAGTGCTATGGTAGAGCGCTGAGAACAAGTGGGAATTGTTACCTGGTTGGTTGTTTTCCTATCCCCTATGTGTACTGCTGAATCATTCCGATGCAGATTCCAATCAATCTTTAATTTTGACACAATTTGTATGGAAATGTGCTTTTATCTAGTTAAAAGAGTATGGACCTGGGAGGCTTTAGTAAATTGTAACATAAAATTTTTTAATGACTTATCTTTTAGAGTTTGTACTGAATGTGAAGAGGCTATTTTTGTTTTTTTTAATCAAAGGCCCAGCCCAACTTTATTAGAAAGCCTAATGAAATTCTGATCCTGCCTTGTTTGGTGATTTGAGTGGAACTTAAATTAAATTCTACACTAATCCTAACATATTTTGATTGAGGTGAATCCGACAACATCCAAAAGGCATAACTGGGGTTACTAGCTTACCAGAGAAGAGTATAAAGAAAACTAGGTGCCTCAACATAACAGGCGCCATACCTCTGGCCCTGTTCACTTCTCTTATAATTCGTCTTTTTCAGTTTGTTTTTTCAGCCGGAACAGTGCTTTTCTCTCACAACAAATCAGCCGGAAGAGTATTTCGAGTTTGTTTTTTCAGCGAAACGAACGGGGCTTCTAACACCAACAGTTCAAAAGATCTCTACCAATCAGGGACTAAGATAGCAACAACCATATACCATCCATGAGCAAAGTGACCATTACACATCAACAAAACACCTTCACTAGCCATACTTCACGCCTCGATGAGACCTTGGTGAAGCTTCTCAAAAATTGTCTCCGCCACAACCTTGGACTTTGGCTTGAGTAGGGGTCTCCACCTCTTGAGCAGCATAATCGTCTTGTGTATAACCACCGACGGGGAAGCCATGATCTTATCGTTAAAGACCACATCATTCCTGGACTTCCATAATGTCCATAGAGCACCTGCGTCCACAAAAAAGTCTCATATGATCCAACACCTCTACAAACGGTACATCCAGGCTTGTGGGGGATATGGACCACCCAAGCAAGCAACGAAAAACATCCACAAATACGACGCTATGCATGGGACACTGGAACAAAATATGATCAGTAGTGTCCACAAGCTCACAGATTACAGTTAGCTAAACTAGACCATTTTCTCTTCTTCAATTGTACTCCACATTGAATCCTGTCATGGTAAGCCATCCAAAGAAAAATTTGAACCTTTAGGGAGGCCCTGCACCCCCAAATCACACACACTTGCATTCTTAACTCCTCCAAATTAAAAGACAAATGCCTATACAAAGACCTGGTAGTGAATTTTCCAGAGTTCTCTAGAACCCAAAACACCTCGCCTCTCATAGACAGATGGACATCATCTAGCATAGCTAGCAATCTTTCCCATTCCCTCATGAGAAACTCATCCGATGATCTCCTGAACCTCAATTGACATTGATTATCCACCCATACCTTAGCAACTTCTAACTCAGGGTCTTCACATATCTAAAATAGTTGCCAGAATTCTACCTCTAGAGAGTGTTACCCAACCACACAACTCTCCAAAACCTGGTTTGATTACCACTCTTCACTCTAATAATTTTCTACCCATATGATATTTATCTCTTAGTTGTAACAGGCTCCTCCAAAGCTGAGACCCACTCTTCCTTTTGATTTTAAATATACTCTACTAACATAGATACTTTTTCCTTAGAAGCCCACAACAAAATGCTATCATAACCTCTTTCTAACTTGTCAATCCATTTGCACATCAAACATGTACTCATCATTCTCACATCACGAAAACCCAATCCACCAAAATCCTTAGGTCTATCAAGAGCTACTGTTGGCTTCCAAGTCAACTGTTAATCCAAAACTTTTGACTGTGCAGGAAGATACTCCTCCTGTCGGTCGGTCACTCGGTCAGTGCCATCGAGATTTTTTCCCTAGGCCAGGCCACCACAGCGCAGTAATAAGATGTTGAAAGAATCTAGACACGAAAGATCTGGACCAGACATTTGTCACGCCTGCCTGTCCGACGTGGCAGCCAGCACTAGCCATGGCTGACACCGCCATCCAATGGCAACACTCGGTTTGATTCCCCCGTATCGATCCCAGCATCCGGATAACGCTGGATAAGAGACGCGGCTTCTCATTGGCCACACCCGTCCCGGGCAGCATCCCGTCCGTCCGATCCGGCCGCGCGGCGTATCTCCGCCGTCGGCCGCCGCCGGCGCCCCCTGGCCACACCCGCCGCCCCGGCCCGGCAGGCGGCAGTTTAATACAGGACAAACCAGGCTGCCTCTGGCGGCAAAAGCCAACGTGCTCGATCGATCTCCCTCCGCCACTCCCATCTCCTCAGTCCCCGCCTGGAAGCTACGAAGCATGGCGTCCGTCACCGCCCGCGCCCCGGTCGCGGTCCTGCGCCCGTCGGCGTCGCTCAAGTCGTCGTCGTCGGCCTTCCTTGGCCACTCTAGCCGCCTCGGCCGCACCGCGTCGCCGACGAGGCGCAGCCTCAAGGCGGAGGCCAAGGGCGAGTGGCTCCCCGGCCTTCCCTCCCCAGCCTACCTCGACGGCAGGTCAGTGTTTCTTTTCCTAACTCTGGCCGGTCGCCCGCAGCGAAGGCAGCCGACTGACATGCCCATGTACGTGTACCGCGCGCAGCCTGCCGGGTGACAATGGGTTCGACCCGTTGGGCCTGGCGGAGGACCCCGAGAACCTGCGGTGGTTCGTGCAGGCGGAGCTGGTGAACGGGCGGTGGGCGATGCTCGGCGTGGCCGGGATGCTCATCCCGGAGGTGCTGACCAAGGCCGGCCTCATCAACGCGCCGCAGTGGTACGACGCCGGCAAGTCGGAGTACTTCGCGTCGTCGTCGACGCTGTTCGTGATCGAGTTCATCCTCTTCCACTACGTGGAGATCCGGCGGTGGCAGGACATCAAGAACCCCGGCAGCGTCAACCAGGACCCCATCTTCAAGAGCTACAGCCTGCCGCCGCACGAGTGCGGCTACCCCGGCAGCGTCTTCAACCCGCTCAACTTCGCGCCCACGCTCGAGGCCAAGGAGAAGGAGCTCGCCAACGGTGAGTAGTGGCAGTACCGTCTCAACAGTGACCGCTCGCACGGCTGCCGGCCGACCGGCCGGCCACTTCCGACGATCCTTCTCTGACGACGACTAATCATGCATCCGGTTATTGATTCTGCGTGCAGGGAGGCTGGCCATGCTGGCGTTCCTGGCCTTCCTGATCCAGCACAACGTCACCGGCAAGGGGCCCTTCGACAACCTGCTGCAGCACCTGTCTGACCCATGGCACAACACCATCATCCAGACCCTCTCCGGTTGAGTCGACGATCCAGGTCATGTGATCCATCGCTGGTGAGCTGATAGGGACTGGAAGACAAACATTGAAGCGCGGTCGTCGATGTTAATTCCTTTCTGGATCAGTTTGTGTGATGTGTTGTTAATCGATCTGGAGGGTATAGATTCGGACCGGGTTGTAATGCACTGTATAAAGAGAGTGAGGGCTGAGGAGTGACTGGTATATGTACATTAATAATTGAAGGGGAGGCTAAGGGTAGAGATTGTTTGATCAGTATCATCTATCCCGATGGGGTTCCTTTTGTGCTTCCTTCTTGCTTGCCAGTGCATGGTTCAGTGTGGAAACACATGTATTAGTACGAGAACTAGTAGGCTTATATATATATATATAATTAAGCACGACTTCTAGCTAAAAACTCAACGTACGTGAAAGCCCTGATAATGGTAACCAACAGGAAAGCACAATATTATTCGGAAGCTACTTCAGTGGTACGAAGAAAATAGTGTAGTATTATAAAGTGAAACAACCTCACGGTGCTAGCTGGGAAACCAACCTACAGATCATTCATCAACAGCCAACAAACAGAGGTAGGTGTGCGTGCAGATCAGGCAAGCCCATTAATCCAGATCGTAAATTCACAAGAACAAGGCCAATAATAGAGCCAAGTGCTTGACTATAGATGGCCAACGGGCCGGCCCGGCCCGGGCCCGTGAAAGCACAGCCCGATAGTGGTCGGGCCGGCACGGCACGCCGGGCCTCCCGGGCCGTGCCGAGCTGGGCTTCGTGCCTGGCCGACAGCCCAGGCACGGTCTGCTAGGCTGTTTTTCGTGCCGGGCCGGCCCGGTAAGCACGGCCTGTCAGGGAGGCCGGGCCAGCCCAATGCCCGCTTCAGCAGGCGATGACGACGTCGAGGTTGAGGGGGCCGCCGGCCGCGTCGGCGGCATCAGAGAGAGGAAAGGGAAGAACAGGAGGAGCTCGACGCGGATCCGCAGGAGCACCGCCGCAGCTTGCCGGAATCCCACATCCGTCGTCACCGCTCGCCGGATCCGTTGCACCGGTGCCGGATCTGCCGCTCCTTAGCCCATATCCACGCGCCGCCGCCGCTGTTCACTGGATCCACTAGAGAAGGGAGGGAGGGAGGACGCGGGGAGCGGATCCGCCACGGAGGAGGAGATCCGCGCCGCCCCTGCCCAGACGTCTGCTTGCGGGGAGAGAGCGCCTGGCACGGGGAAGAGGGAGAGGAAGCGCGAGCTGCGAGGTGAGGATTTAGGGTTGAGGGACGGGGCTCGAGGCAGACCACCGCTGCAGGGGGCCTTGGGGGGAGGAGGCATTGCCGACGGCGTGCTCGAGGTGTGGCGCTTGCTTGTGGCCACAGCGGGGAGGCGGCGAGAGGAGGTGGGCCGGGGCCGGGGAGGCGGCCGCGTGGGGAGGCGAGGAGGAGGCGACCGCGTGGGGAGGCGAGGAATCAAGGATAGGGGTTGAGGCGTGGGAGGAGGGGGGGGCTGTGGACGGTGGGGCTCTTAGTAGGTAGGCTGGTGGCCTGCTGATGCCGCCAGCTCTGTGAGAGTGTCGGCCGTGCGCCGCCCATGTGTGCTGAGGGGTAAGGCCCATGCACGGCCTGCTCCTCCGGGCCGTGCTTGGGCCGGGCCAAAAAAACGGGCCTTGGGCCGGGCCGACGGGCTCAAGCTACATGGCCGACTATGTGCTTGACAATAATCAAGCTACAAGAGTCAGACTATACAATAATTGTCTTTAATTTATCTATAAAATCTTTTTTTTATTATTATGTAGCACCATGTCTTCTATTCTTTTTCCTACTAGGTAGCATGCCCGTGCGTTGCTACGTGACAACTAAATTTTTGTACTAAAAATACACGGATCGCACGATAAGATAATAATACTGTGAAATTAAATACCGACGTTAAAGCGACATTTAATCCAAAAAGCAAAGTTCGTGAAATTAACGCGGTCATGGAGAGCGCGGCGTCGCAGGCTTACAAACTCTGTTGTATGTCTATATAGACCTTTCCGTGATGCGGGTAAGATAATATTTTATATCAGCAGGAAGAAATATCCGATATATATTTCTTTCGTTCGTCAATAAATCCACGAATAAGTTCCACCACATCACAAGGCTCACATTTTAGAGACCCTGATCCTAAGCAAGTAATGCCCTACCATGAATGGCTACAAGGATCACCATCATTCGCCTGCCAACCTTTGAGCTACCCATGAGAATTCAGACTGGTGAAGAGCGTATATTGCCCCGGGCTAACACCACGATCACATTTTAGGTGATGCAAAGTAATAGCCAAACGCGGTATAAAATAAATAGATTGAAGATTCACAGAAAAAGGAGTGATACAAACTTACAGGGTTATTATATCATTATCAAAAAGGATCAAACTTATGTTGTCCAATACAACAAGGATTAACTTAATGTATGCCTCGATATATATTGTGTTTCTCTCCCCATCCAACCTAAGACCAACTATCCAGTTCCAGTTAGCAGATGCTGTCAAGCTTCCCTACATTGAACCATTTTGTTTGAACCATTTTGTTGTTGAGACAGAAACAACTCAAAGCTAGATTTGCAGTGCTGTGCATCCAAATATGGTTGATATTGCATTTTCTTGAGTGAGAAGTGGGAACACATGCATGTTGCCTGGTGAACAGTCATATGGTTCCATTCCCATGGTAATCGTTTCTTCTTGACACAAGAAGAGAACATAAGCATTGATTTCAAAGACGAAAAAACCACAAGCAGAGTCCTTACCATAATTCCGCACTTCCGCGGGCTGGAACCTGAAACTTCTTGCAGTTAGCTAATGGTTGCTGTGTCTTTGGGCATGTCCACTGCCCAGCATCTAACCACTTCTGATACTTCTCTCTTTAGTCTGCAAATCAGGTGAAATATGGACTGTGAGACAATAAATCCCGCTTTGCAATCAGGGAACATGAATGGCATAACACAAAGCATACCCTCACGCTCGCAATGATGACAAGGTCAGTAATGATCTCCGGTGATATTGGACAGAGAAATTCATTTAGGATCATCAAAGATGGGCATTTCTCTAGATATTTTGGTATGGAGACATCCCAAGGATGTTCTTTTCATCGATGCCTGTAATCTCCTTGAACTTGTTGAGTAGTTCTATTATGTGCTTGGTGCTTTCTCGTTGGTGGCCATTCCTCCCATTTATGAGCTTTTTAATGGCCATAGTCTCTGCTATAAAATCCACCAGGCTTTGCAGCTTGAGTTTCTTGGCTAGCGTTTCCAATATAGCTCTATCTGCATTTGCTTCCTCCTAGTTCTGGAGTATCATCGTAAAATCCATGGAGAGTTCCATGTCCTTGTGCATTGATGAGGTCAACCTGAAATCACCAAAGCAGTTGCGGTTTGCATCAGAAAAGAGAACACGATGGATCATTTCATTTTACCAAATGTTGGCAAACAATGCACGTATATTACGTGTTCCTTGACTTCATCGGAGATGCCAATCTCAGAGTAAGCATCCCATCCAATGCAAGAGTCGGGATGATTACTTCTTCTCATGCACGGCCCTGGACCGCTCGAGCACAACTGTAGCTGAATTGAGCCTAAGAAATTTCACTGTGCAGATGCCAACAAGTTTTAAGTGTGGAACTCACAATACTTCTTATAGCATTGGTTATGTGATCCGATAATGCATGGCTTTTTTATGATACTTCTTTTCGCAAGTGCTTGGATCTCCAACTTGTTGTCACTGGTCCTTTACAACATTGACATGCAGCAATTACCTCCTCATGTACAATCAGTTGTTCAGATAGAACGTTAGTAAAGCCAAATTATATCGAGGACTGAAAATTAATGGAACCTATCACCATGAACAAGCAGTGCAGAGTAACAAAATATGATAAAAGATATCCCCTTAAAATTCATTTAGGCATTACCTTGAAAAATATAAACCATAAGGAACCAAACAACTATTACGTTATTTCTTAGTAGGGAAAACTAAAAACAAATGGAGGGAGTGTATAGGTTCTTATTCATGCAGATCATTGTCAATTCAAAAGAAGACATCATGGCTGACTATAAAACTACAAGCGATGCAACTAAGGACACGTAGGAAACCAATAATTAACTACATGAAGACAAAAGCAAAGTAAATTTTACTTAAAATGCCACTGAGAAAATCACAGCGACACCCTATTCTATCATGATTTTCATTGTGCAAGGCATCCTGCGGTCAAGGCATCAGTCACTCTTAAAGCTATGACCTTAAAATTATAAAAGAGTGTTCATGTAATGGACAAATAAGGCTACCTTTAGGTTCTCAGTCCCTTAGATTAAAGGAAGTTTTTAAGACCTTGATCCAGCTCTGGTTTGACTTCTTGTAATTAGCTTCCTCTCCCTGTAGCTGTTGCTGCCTCCTTTGTTTTCTTTTTCTTCTCCTTTCTAAGTTGAGTGGCACTCCGTTTTTTCTCTCTCAAGTCTTTTATAAACTCTGCACTCCGGTGTCAAATTGTACTGCCTTCTTTTTTGTTTTTTTTAAAAGGTACCTGTAGCTGTAGGTTAGCCTGTGTGGTATCTACAGTATCCTTGGAGAAGTCTTCATTCTCTAAGTTAATAAAACCAATCTGAAATAAAAAGAAACAAAGTACAACCAAAAGAGTTAGCTTTGATAAATATAAAGTTCCTGGTGTCTCATATTACATTGATAATATTAGGTCCAAAAGTGTTGTGAAAGCACATCATTGCAAACTATGGATCAGCTTTGTCAGGTTACAAAAAAACTTATGCAATTGCTATTTTTTCTTGGCCGCAAAAGAATAAATCAATTTTGCCTGTCACTATTTGATCCAAATAAACAAAAGAGCTACTTGTCAGGTCCCTGTTCTATAAGTTTTTGTTGGAAGTGCCCAGCCATACTTAATTTTTTTAAACAAAATGTGTATTTGTTTAGTCTGAACAAATTAGCATGGGGAAGCTCGTTTGCAGCCTTGTCAATATTCTCAGCAGTTTTCTTAATGTTCTAAATGAA